TGGAATGAGGATGGTTTACTCCTCGGTCGGCCTATTGCATCAACCCATCAACTATGACCTCGACAGCAGCGCCATCAGGCAAGCTCAACCCATGAACAAGTATATGAAGACCGCAGACCTTTGTGTTAACTGAGATGCTTTTATCGCGAAGGAAATCTCTCCTTTGGGTTAATATGGGTGCATCATCAGGCCACAACACACACATTCTGACATCGGATTCTGGCTTTTCCTTCCATAGCTTGTTGCTCTGAAGACTCGCCATTCTTGGGTGATGCTCAAGGGTTATACCGTAGCTAAGTTTTTCAATAAATCAATTCTTCAGGTTTAGAAGCAATTTGAGAGTCGTCAATCATCCCAAGCAAAATGATAGGACGTCTTGGTAAGTGTGTTGTCTTTCATCCGAATACCTATAGCTTTCCATCGGATCAGGTTGTCACATATGTACGTCCCTTAGGTTGCTGATTGCATCTTCAGATGTTTAAATGAGTGGCATAAATGACCATGGTGATTTGACTGGTATGAACCATGTCATGAGCTTTCAAGATTCTGCCTGGGAGATAGGGCAATTCTGCCTTTCATCCTTGCTCAATCTCTGATTCAATTCGATGCTTACCTGCATTTACCATGTGTATGAAGGCCAACAAGGCATGTGGATACCTCACTTTATCCTCAATCAGCCTGATTAGATGTGATTGACAATGCTCCTCTGACCGTGTATTAAACAACGAGAGCTGCCTAATAGCTAACACACTTGGTATCATGAAAGCCCTCATTTCTACTCCAACATCTCTCGTTGCTATCTCGTCCCTTCCCCCATGCACCTCCCGCTCATTCTTCATACAAGCATGAATCTGGCACATTGTTAGGCTAATCAGGCTCCGAGGCCTTCATATACCCTACACGTGTTCTGTGGTAGGCTTCAGTCATTCTGAGAAATGGCCTTCACATGCGGAATGGTGGGACAGCGATGAAGGAATTCGGTCTGCAACTGAATGTAACCACTTATGATCATGTATTGATTCTTCTCCATATTGAGAACTGACTGCACCAGGTCTGGAAACAGACCATGTCTTGAACCCTGATCCCGTCGTTAAGTCAAGTATCCATTTTACATCCTACATGGACACATTTTCACCCCTTTTGCTCTGCGTAGACACAGTTTTCTCCCATTTCTTCACCTAACTCACTTTTTTTTGATCTGAGATGCCTCTGTTGCCAGAGCTCTTCATCAAGAATGCTAGGCATTGAGGATCTAACCTTGCTAAAGGCATTTCATTTTGCTTAGAGGATGTTCTCACATGGTAGAACATGCAAGTTTGCATGAGGCATCACAGAAGCGGGACATGGGGAAATGCATCAGTCAACGGCAGAAGAATGGGCTTCACTTTGACATATGTCACCCATTTCACTGATCTCACATTTGGGTCCCATATATGAGTTGCATTTTCAGTGACAAAAGGAGTTGCTTTGCTCTGAAGAATAGTTTGATCCTTATCGATACTCCAGTTTTCTCATTCGCAAATTATTTCTCTTGCATTCAGAGCAGGAACATACACACAAATTCCTGCTCCGAAAGAATATGCATTGTCCTCCGGCGATGCCCTCCATACTGTCTGGACAAAAAAGGAACTCACATGCAAGAACGGTCCTTCTGTGTAACATCTTGAATATGATAGATAAAACTGTCAGAGGTGTCTAGTACAGATCATAGTGATGAGGAGGAACTACGGAAGCAAGGGTGATTGATAGCATGGCAGGAAAACAAGAAGACTGAAGACTGATAATTAATCACTTGATTTATGAAAGTGCACCTGTCATGCATCTATACAAAGCATTGGCACAGAAAATTAGACCTTCGTTACCCGGTGCATATAGTACTAATACACCTAGGCATTCTCATGATCCCTGAGCTGCTCAGAATCACACACCGCTTGCAAAACCCGCTGTAGGACCTTGACTTTTGGGCTCCAGCCATTGACATCTGACCGCCTATCTCCCATCGCAGTCAATCCCCTACCCTCGGGGCTCGCTGTAGCAACACCAGTACCACTGTTATCTCGATAATGGTAATGGCAGACTAGATTAAGCCATTCGCTCTATGCAAGCCTGTTCAAGGCATGGATGATATCGGTACTGGCTATTTGTTGGGGGGTGGACAGCAATGTTGTTCCTTCTCGAGAGATGATTTTGGTCGTAATGTGCAATTCAATAATTTTTCCAGGGTGGGTGTGACTCTCCATCCTGATCGGACCTAGTCAGGAAGGTCAGTATTCGTAAGAAAACCAATCGGGAATGATACTTGCCCACCGTAGCACTAGTTGATTATTTTGATATTCATAGTGTAACATTCATAACTTCTTCAGATGTCAGAATTGATGAGTGGATGTTGCATGCTGCCTTGGAAATAACTGCCCTGAATTTCACAGGGTTCAAATTCACAGATGGGAAAATGAGCTCAGCGATTGTATCAATTTTGTCACTCTGACTGTCTGCTCATGAACTTTACATGATATGTGCTGAGCAAGAGTCAGATCCACAGAGTAACTTTCAAAGAACTCTGCTTTGCATCTGGACATCGCTCAGTAAAAGTAGTGTCTTCTGATCTGATGACACCAATGTACGAGCTACATTATGCGATATGAAGAAGTCATAGGATTTTCACAACATGCAAGTCATGCTGTCGGTGACATTGTTTTTCCCACCCTCAATGCTAACTTGTAGGCTTCCACAGAACATCTCTAAATACAGGCAGCGCTGCTGGCCTGTCTACATACACAAAGCTCATTCCACCACTTTCCCTCTCTTTCTGTATGGTAAATTACTAAAGTTACAGTGCAGGTCCGTATCTTCACTAGAGACCTTTCTCACTTACATACCTCTTTGACACACTCAGTCAGCAATACTGCCGTGTACGCCAACCTCATGGGTCAACAATTGCTATCTGTTTGCTCATCGCTCAGGTCGCGTACCGGGATGGGGATGCGTGGACCTCCACATAGGTAGAATATACCAGGAAATATCTTAACGAGAACACCAATAGACAGGCTCTTGAGGACGAGATTCGCAAGAACACTAGCTGCGTCAAGGTAGAGATTCGACTTGCATGCCACGAAAACATACTGACAAAAAATAGTTCTCATTCTCATTTCCTAATCGTCGCTACCAGTACTGTAACACAGGTCTTCAAACACAGCCCGTTTGTCACCTCTTCCTTAAGTATTTCATCCCGCTTATGACTAGTACTACTAGGACTGCTTGGTTCTACCTTCGCCTCTCCATGTACGTCCATCAACATACCCTCAATGAGAAACAACATCCAAGATGTACGGAGGTATAGTGAGTCCTACTGATTCAATTCCACCAACATTCAGTTGATGTGCTGTGTCACTGTTTTTGCAGCTTCTTTCACCTCTTCTCTGTACTTAGCATTGACCCGGGGCAAAATCGTGTTGTCAAACTTGTCTGGGTGCCAACGACGCAACAGATTGCGAAGATATGCCTTCGTTATATCACGAGGACATGCAACAGAGAAGAATAATTTGATGACATTGAATGAGAGCTCCGTGTATTTGTTGACTGGATGGATAGACGGCCACGGAAAAGCAGCAAAAGTCATATCGGACAACATCACCTCTTTTTCTGACTGAAATAAGGCCATCCAACTCTCATCGTGTAGGACAGACAGTAGCCTGGTGGATTCTGGATCACCTTGTTGAGATAGATTCTCAGCTTTGCAAAGTTGTTCAAGGTAAGCGATCCATTCAGCTCGATGGAAGGCTATACGATCGGTTTGTTCCCTTGTCTCGTCATGCTGCCCAGAAGCTGTGGCTGTCATCTCTTTTGCATCACCACGTTCGGCTTCTTCCTCTGCATTGGCCAGGGCCCATCTAGTCTTTGTTTCATTCTCCTTAGGCTTCTGTTGATCATGCCAGAACCTGATATTCTCTATATTCCGCCTTCTGATATCCTCATTCAGCTGGGCATTCTCCTCTTTCTCTACTCAGACTCTCTCAGCTTCCTCTTTCTCTGCCCAGATCCTCTTAACTTTCTCTTGCTCTGCTCTAATCTGCTCCACTTCCTCTTTTTTTGGCCCGAGTATGATCCCCTTTTTCTAGTTCTGGATGAACACGATCTTTCTCATGCCAGTTCACCTTGATCTTCTCATCTCGAACCTGACACATAGTCTTGGTTATTCTCCTACATTTTTGCTGCATGAGACTTTCATCAAGAACTCTAGATGATTCAGATCGAATCTTGTTTGATGAACTTCTCTTCTTCTTAGAGGGCTTTCCCTGCATGGCTGGATGCTCGTCTGATTTAGGCATCTCGATACTCGGTGTTGAGCCATTCAGTGGAAGTTCATCGGAAGAGTAGGGACCACCTTGAAAGATATTCCCCACTACTGTGGTAGAATTCTCATTCAGGATTTCAGATGTGTGGTCGTGGTCGGTGGAAGCTGACTTTTCATGTTGAGGGATGTCTCCGGGTATGGCATAGCCTTCTCTGGGGTTGCCAGATTCACATTTGCAGTGGCTAGAGGTATATACTCCACTCCCAAATTCTGCAAATTTGTCAGACATCAGTGGGGGTTCAGCTTTATGCAGTGTTTCATCAGGTGTATTCATTGAAATAGTAATGCAGCCTGACAAGAGGTGGCTTTGCATCAACAAAGAGGCCACCATTTCTTCAAAGAGGTATGTCCGACACACTCATGGCCGAAAACCCAAGTTATCTCGAGGTTGGAATGCCGCATGGCTTCATGATAGACACATGTGCTCGTATCAGTGGCAATATGACAAATGAAGAGACTGACATCATCTGCTTGCATATGAGATTGTTGAGGGATATGTTGCCTGTGAGGTGACTTTTACCTTCCATCTCAACCAACATACGATAAGTCGCATATCACTTTCTCATAGCACTGGAATAACTCTCATTGCTACTTCTGAAGGACAAGCTTACCCAGTTTTCAATTTGGTGTCGGCTCCGCAATCTTCGACACATCTGGCTACCAACAAGCTATGTGGAAGTCTCACTTTTTCCTCAGTCATGATTATGGTGAACCCTCTCAATGTCCTCTGCTCCTCTTTCTTGCAGTTCCGTGCCTTTCTCCCCTCTTCCGATCTGCTGTTCTTTGTGAAGACATGAATCTGGCACATTGTTAATGCCATCAAGCATGCAGGCTTTGATATGCCTCACACATGTCTCACGGTAGGTTGACACCTACCAGCTCTCCCCATCTCAAAGGCTCATCAACTCTCCCATGCATTCGTAATTCTCTGCAGAAGCCTGCTCCTTCTCAGAAGCAGAGTTTGCCATCTAAGGCCGTAGACACTTCAGCAAAGATCCTCGAGCACGATTCTTTTGCAGCCAATAGTAACAGCACCAGCAACATGATGAGCGGCACTGCTCCTCCTCCTCACCCATCATGGGCCAACACCACCACTTTGCACGATATCTATATCACCCCCAATCAGCAGGCTCACCACCGTCTTTCCAATCCTGTCAGCTTGCCTGCAGAGGCCGCCTTTTACAGTAACCTCACCGACCCTCCACTGGATCCTGTTCACTTGACCCACATGGGTTTCAACTCTTCGACGGGCGAGTTCACGGGCCTGCCTAAGGAATGGCAGCAGTTACTACAGAAGAGCAGCATCTCCAAGTCAGAGCAGGAGAAGGACTCGCAGGTGGTGATGGGAATTGTGAAGTTTTACCAGGAAGGCCAAGGAGATACATCTGTTTGGGATAAGATGGGTACTGTACCTGCACCTGCACCTGCACCATTTGCTGGAGATGGTCTACAGCATCCTGTAAGTGTCTCCACCATCAATCGCTTAGGTGAGTTTGTATTGAACTACAGTAGCATCCAGCACCTCCTCCTCCCAAGAAATCTCACTCCCAGCCCACTCCATCGACGCCATCATCCTATCGTCCCGCTCCTGCCCCACTCATCCCATTGACCCCTACTCTTGACCAATCCACAGCCCAACATCTCCCTCCCAGTTCCAGCAAGATCTCAAAGAGTGCTGATCAGCTTACATGAGCTAATACCATGCGCGATCGACACTCACCCAGTCCTGGGCAGCATCACGGACATCATAGCCTGGGTCATATACCCCCTGCACCCTCTGGTTTTCTGCCTTCAAAACCCAAGACATCACCAGGCTCATCTGCTGCTGACCTTCCAGTCAAAGGCTCACCTACATCACGAGAAGGTATACAAAGGTCGAACACGCAGCAAGCACCAAGTCCTGTGATGGCTAGCCTGCAAAAGGCCGCTGCTGCTGGAGGAGCTATGCTGCACCGGAGGGAAAAGAAGGACAAAGACAAAGAAGTCAACTTTGTCAAGTGATTGCAACAAATCTGTCCTGATGCCGATCCCACCAGACTATACCGTAACTTGGTCAAGATTGGTGCGGGGTGAGCAGATCGTCGGACTATATATATGGCATATAAGCTCACTCATTGACATGGAACCTTTCTAGTGCTTCTAGTGGTGTGTACACTGCGTATCAAGTCGGTATGAATATGTCAGTAGCCATCAAGCAAATGGATCTCAAAAAGCAGCTGAAGAAGAATCTCATCATGAATGAGATTCTTGTCATGCGGACTTCATGTCATCCCAACATTGTCAACTACATCGACTCATTCCTCTACAAGAATGAGCTTTGGGTCATCATGGAGTACATGGAAGGTGGATCGCTGACAGACGTTGTCACCACCAACCTCATGTCTGAGGGTCAGATCGCTGCGCTTTCGTGAGAGACAGCCCTTGGCTTAGAACACCTCTACAAACACGGAGTTATTCACAGAGACATCAAGAGTGACAATGTGCTGTTGAGCATGAATGGTGATGTCAAACTTAGTGCATGCCTTGGGTCCATCTAGTGCGATGGCTTTCTGACGATCTTTGCAACTGACTTTGGCTTCTGTGCACAAATCTCAGATGGTAACTCCAAGCAGACAACCATGGTCGGCACACCATATTGGATGGCACCTGAGGTCATTACTCAGAAGGAATATGGCCCTAAGGTGTCCATATGGAGTCTGGGTATTATGGCAATTAGTATGTCATTGCATCAATTGTTCACGTCTTTCCACTGAGTCATTCACGTCATGCAGAAATGATTGAAGGAGAACCCCATACCTCAATCAAAACCCCTTGAAGGCATTATACCTAATTGCCACAAATGGTACCCTGACAATATCGAACCCTGAGTCATTGTCGCCGACATTCAGGTATTACTTGTCCAAGATGCTTGAAGTGGACGTAGAAAAGCAACCGACAGCCACTAAACTTCTCGAAATTAGTTTTTGATGAAGTAATTTATTGTGATGTCTATCTAATATAATGTCCTCATACAGCACCCCTTCTTTAAGCTTCGTGAACTGCTCTGGACATTCGCTCCATTGATCAAGGCTGCTCGAGAGATCGCGAAGTTGAGATAATGTAGATCTGTTCATAAATTCCCCTCTCTGCAGTGTGTGCTATACTATGTTAGCTTGCATCATGTTTCATATCTGGTTGTGTTATTACAACTTCTGTCATATTTTTATAGAGTCTTAATTTTTGCCATTTCTCAATTTTCTGACTTCGGTGAAATCATAGGTGTTTGCATTTGCATCTGGATGGGTGATATACATGTTATTCAGGTTGACCTGAGGATCAGACAGCTACATATTTCTCATCAGTTTTAGTTGGGAGCAGTCAGTCAGTCAGTCAGTCAATCAGTCAATCAGTCTATCTTTCAGTCAGTCAGTCAATCTGTCAAATAATTAGTAAATATTGTGAGCTATAAAGTTTTGTCAGAAAATTTTGAAATGTATCTTCTACAAAATTCTAGTAAAATTGAACAAAAATATGTTGAATAATATAAAAATTTTACAAGCAAGATTAATAATGACAAATGATAAATATGAAACTTGAAAAAAATCAGATTTTTTCATGAATTTGTGAACTGAAAATAATATGTAAATACTCAACATATTAGCCAATATAAAAATCACCTATAATATGCTAGCTATGAACAGATTTGTATGACCTCAATTATAGTAAATAAGTGTAAAATATTACAAACAATATGACAGGACTGAATATATCTTTTCTATATTGAAACATATTTTAGATTTTTCTATGGCCAAAAAATATGGGATCAGATTTTCTCACAACATTTTCTGTGCAGAAAAATTGCATCATATTTAACATATTATATCATCTAAAAAGGAACAATATTATTCAGAATATGTGTCAAATTTTCTTCAGATACATAGTATTAATAAAATGTAAACTTTTATTCAATTTTTAAGATATGTCAATAGGGTAGCCATGGAAAACATATTACTTTTATATTTACTATAATTTTATATATGCTAAAATCATTGTAGAAACCCAGTGTCATGAACTTGGATGACGTGGCAGTCAGCCCATCAGTCGATGAGTCCACCTGCAGAGACAAAACAATTATTAGTGCGACATTGTGCAATGACAATGTATACGCTTACCATGAATGCCTTCATTACCGCTGACATTACTATCTTCTTGCAACCACCCTGCAGCACAGCTACGCATGAGAAGGCAGCATGAGATGAACTACATGCCATGTCAGCGTACATGTGCTGGACCTGCCCACATGTACTACTCCTGTTCAAAAAGTTAGGTGATAACGACAATGACGAGGACACCCCACTTACTAGATGGTAATCACAATGAGACATTGAAGGAATGGACATCAATGATAAGTGACAGCGATGGCGGAGAAGGTAGCATGAGAGAGAGGAAAGGTACTGCAGGAATGGAGAAGAAAGTGGGAGTAGGATGTGGTAGCAAATGGAAATAATAAAAGTACGAAGAAAAAGATGAAAAGGAGGAGAGAAGATGAATGAGAGGAGAAAAGGTGTGATGAAGAGAACAGACTTGCACCCTGGTATTAATACAACAGTGCTCAGTAACATATGACTGAGCTCGAATATTAATGCGACAAGCTAGCCGAACCCCTGGAAAGTGAGTGAATTATAGCCGTAAGTAAAGCGAAGTCAATGTCATACCCCAAGGCCTGGCTGAAGCTATGCAGCTGCAGAGGTAAGTGATATGAGTATGCGATAAAGGCTTTTTCTTATAAAGTTCAATGTTCGCAGGTGAGACAGGGACAAGTGCTTCAAGGTTCAACCTTGAAGCTTCACTTCTGGATCCCACTTCACTCCGCACAGTCAGACTGCTGCATTTTCCCCTCAAATTCACTTCTTCATTTCTGTCTTGTATGTTCCAATTCTATTTTCCTCATCTTTTCTTATATCGAGTTCTAGACTCTGGGTTGGAATGCAGTTGCGCATTCAGAATTCCCATTCCCTGTGCTTGCCACTTTGAAGTTGATACTGCTGGGTCCAACTATGGCCCTATGGTGTTCATCTTTGATTCGGCTTGCTGGATTCATTCCCATTCTCCGATGCCCCACACCTCCCCCTTTCCCCTTTCCTCCATTTCACAATTTATTTCACACTCACTTGGTGGACACTTATTCCATCTGGCAGTGAAAATAAGCTGTTTCCACTTGAGTCAATCATGACTGGTTTCATTTTCTGTTTATTGGGCCATATGTAGGTGTATCAAAATAAGCCCCTGCAACCGCAGTGTCCATAGTATGTAGACTTGGAATGTATTGACCCGCATCCGCAGATCTGCAAGAGTCTCTGTGTGCCTCATACAGAATAGGTGAGTGTCACTTTCATCATCGTCCTCCGACTCATGCTATTTTATAGTATGTTCATTCATTTTATGCTTCCACTCTTGACTCACTTACATTGTACATCCCTTTATTCTTTATAGGCATCCCCCACAACACTGAGAAGGGTGCTCAGAAGGCATTATGAGACTTATCTCTGGGCTGTCCTGCATTGACTGATGAGAGAAATGTCACGGCAAATTTATCATGACACAGGTATTGTTCAGAAAATTTACGAAGGAATCTCACAGCTTACATTCTCTATGATTCAAGGTTTCTAGCCACACGGGTGCCTGTCATGCTATAATGTCTGGTGCCTAGTCTCTGGTCTTCTTTCCTCTACACAATAACAATGGACTCAGCTTCGACCTCACCATGGGTCCCAAACCACGCAAAAAAAGGCCGACCACAGCAGATGCTCATTCTGATAATGGCGACGATGCACATTTTCTCCAGTCTTGGATGCATCAAAACACTACTTCAAACAACAGCAAGGGCAGCATTGAAACTGGTCTCAGTCACCCTCAAGATGACCCTCCTGTCAAGATCGGGAAACCAAAGTGAGGACGAAATAAAAAAACAGAGGCTCAAAAGCCACCAAGCTCGAGCTCAAAGGTACGCACACAAGCTGAGTTGTGCATGCAATGTGGCACTTACTAACAACTCCCAGATGACTCGCGCTGCAATGAGATGGGTGCAATTGATAGCAGCCGAGTCCTCCTTGCCACCCAGACCCTCTGAAGATTCACCAGGAGGCATTGAAAACCTGAACCTTAAGAAGATGAATGATGGGGGCAAACATGCTACCAAAGTCACACAAGAGGGCGATCGTCTCGATGCTGGCAGAGACGGAGGTGAAGGAGGAGACATGCATGTTGCTGAAGACAGCAAAATGCTCATAGATCCCTTGAACATGCATCTCATTAAGTTATCTCTGTTGAGCTGTCTAATCAACCCTACTTCTACAGTATGACCTTGTAGGCCTTGTTGATGCAGGCATGGGTGGTGCCTCTCCATGGTTCGAGACTGTGGTCTCACCACCCCCATGTCCCAATCCTGTGTGCTCTCCAGCAGAATCCATTTCAACCAGCCTATTGTCTTCAGCACCTTACCCAAACGACATGCTCCCAATAATCAACAATGAGCATGAGCACGAGCATGAGCATGGGCATAAGGATGAGCTTGAGGATGAGGACAAGCCTGAGGATATGGATAACCACAAGGATGATGAGCAGGAGAAGGACAAGGATGATGAGCAGGAGCAGGATAAAGATGACAAGGACCTGGAAGAGGAGCAGGAGAAGGACAATGAGGATATGGAAGAGGAGCAGAAGCAGGAGCAGGACAAATTGGAGGATGAAGTGGAGGATGAATTGGAGGACAGAAGGTCCAGTGCAGTTGATAAGGGCAAGTCAATTGAGGTATGTCTTTTATCTATTTGTCATCGCTTTCTCTAAGGCCGTTCTCCCTTAGTGGCATCCACCTACACCACCAATGAGCCCCATAGTGACCTTGGTGAGCTTTGTTGAAGCTCCAAACCATCATCCTTGCAGCGCTGACCTTTGACCATGCAGTCACACTGTTCACGTGTGGAGGTCCTTTTGCCCAAATGGCCATACTCACTATCCAAACTAAGAATGTTTGGGACTACCGACGCAATGCCCAGTGGAATCAAGAATCCTCTTTCCATTCAAGCGAGTGCAGACAACCAGGAATTTGAAGGCAGAAGTGGAGGTCATCGCCGCATGACTTCCGTCCATAAAGAGATTCACCAAATCGTCGCTGATTCATATATGCGTGCTGCATACATACATTTATGCTGGTTCCCCTTATAAATGCACTCTAACATGACTACTTCAGATGCCCATCCTGAAACCTCTGTTTCAGGAAGTGATTATGAGGAGACTAACGCAAAGCAACATGACGGCCATCAACATTATGCGAAGGGTGGTCATTTGACATCGGACACTGAGGAAGAAGATGACCTACTGGATCAGGAACTTGCAGACAACATCGCTGCTGATGAGATGGTGGTGCAGCCATGTACATGTCAGTCATCCATGGAGATGATGGGTAGGACTGCATCAAAGTTGAAGAGGAATGGGAAACCACGAAGGTCCAAGGGGAAGCAGAGGGCCCTGCCTCAGGTGGAACACAATGAGTCTGACCTGCAGACACTAGATGAAGGCCCCGAAGGTTGTGACGAAGTCAAACACCTGGATGAACTCAACAGCCCAAACAGTGACTGGAAGAAAATACCTGGTCCTTTGTCTGCCGAAGCCAAGTCCAAAATTGCCACATTCAGTGAGGACATTCGAAGGCATGCAGAGCACTTAGCATGCAAGTTCAGGAAGGCTACATGCAGTGTGATGTTGCAGGCAGGTCTGGGTGTACGCCCATCATGGGGTGTCAACCACATGAATCAATTTCACATTTGGTATGCAGCACACCATCCGAAGCCTGACGACAGTAAGTCGTTCATTCTTGTATCATCTATTCCTTTCATTAACAGCTTTTCAGTGGACCCGGGCGATTACACCAAGTAAATGAACACGGTGTATAAGATGCTTCTCGATGGGATATCACCCAATGATAAGGAACAGCGCAACAAATGCCTGAAGCCCATGATTGATTACTGCGAACAACTGGAATGCGACTTGGATGGGAAGTTGGAAAATGTCAAATCAGTGATGAGTCGAATGTACATGGCCCAGGAACAATTTTCGAGTCTCGTGAGTAACCCTCATCTACGATCTATTACCAACTTTACTTATTTTTTTTTTCGAAGGCATTTGCATACCACAACCTCGAAGACATGGAGATCATGGGGGTCATCCTGTACACTGGCCTTGATGCCGCCGGATGCCAAATGTCGACCATCTTCGGAGGTTCAGAGAACATATGAAAGCTCATCAACGAGAAGACAGTCGAGTGCCATCAGCTTTTGGATGAAGTAACCACAGCGGTGAAGTACGTACATCTTATTTGCATATGTTTGTTCTGACCTGTTGTCCTATAGAGCAGTCAAATTAGGCATAAATACCATGGACATAGGCCAATTCTTCAACTTCAACAAAGGCCCGGATGAAGATGATGAGGATGGAGAGTCCGCCGGGCACTCATTGAAGGAGGCACCTCAGGATCACGATCGAAAACTTTTGAACACACACATGGCGACCGAAATCTGTAAGCACCTGCTTCACACCATTCCAGATCCTTCTATCTCTCTGACTTTCAATTTGTAGAGTGACATGTTCCTGATGCTAAGAACATCCATTGGTCTGGCTGGCCTTCATTTGCGGTGAAGAACCGACTGCATCTCACGAACTGGCCAAAATCCATCACACACCCAGCCATCTCTGGGAGAAAGGCAAGAGAATTGCCAGCGAACCATCTTAGAACACTGGTTGTCAACCATCTGCATGGCGAGCACAGTCTTCGAGTTGAGGCCTGGTCTGAAGGTAAGTTGTTCGACACGTACCTCTTGCACACTGCTGACTTGGTCTGAAGAGGAGAAGAATCTCTCAAACAAGGACCCATCCAAGGCTCGCATTCCCCTCATTACGGATGAGCAGAATGTGCCGCTATTTGTTCTTGGGCAAGTAGCCACCTGGCTGAAGAAGGCAAAGGTGCCAGACAGCATAGTGTATGGTCTTTCGAATGACCAGGAGACAGGAGACGAAGAAGACCAAGAAAGCCATGGGGCAAAGCATCTCCGTGAAGAAGAAGAGATGGATGACAGAGAGCTGACATATCCTCTTGCAGAAGCACGTGCGAGGCACAGTCAACATCGACAACCCTCTGCACATACACTTCATCAAGATCACCAACCTGGACCTCCATTGCACTCGCTGCGTCCTCCCTCACCATCTGCTGAATGTTCTGCGAAGCATCCTCATCCTAATGGAGATGATGACATATTGGACATTGACATGCAGGAGCATCCACTGCCTGAAGTCCGCACACCATCCCGTGCTCATTCGCAAGCTCCCCGCGCTGCTTCTGCACCTCATCAGATGTTGCCACAAGGACAATTGGACCGCCCTCAAGCTCATCACCTGCCATCTCAGGCCTCTGCATTAGGTCCACCCATTTGACTCCCATCTCAAGCTCCTCATGGTCGTGGTCTCACTCGTGGTCGTGGTTATGGCCATGGGCGCAGTCTTGAAACTCCTCTTCCTCGTTCATCTCATCAACCTTATCAGGACCATGTGCAATCTTATGAAGAATCTCTGCCATCTGATCATCAAACATTGATTTCCCCTCCTCACGACTATCGTATGCCATCCATGCTGCCCAATCCTGATTGTCAGAGGCCCTTGCCACCTCACTATCCTCCATCAGGCCCGTATTTTCCCCCACCTCGCTACCCTTCATATAAGTATGGGTACTATGGCTATGTACCAGAATTCTTGCCTGGTTCAAGTCAGCAACCTCAAGGGTATGGTATGGAAATAATAGACACTGAGAACTATGGTGATGGTGATTATGTAGATTATGGCCATGATGAGTATGATGCTGGATATTAGGGACTTTGTTTTTAGTGAATGCTGATCTTGTGTGTTTTGTAATGTGATAAGTCTTGGATATCATGAGTCTCAATTCAAAGTGACCATGGTCATTACTCACATGCAGCAATAGTGGCCATGGACATAAGAGATATGACATCACAAGTGCCAAGGTCAGAATATTGAAGTGCAACAATGCCCATGATCATAAGATGACCTGTAAGAAGGACCATGGTCACCTCCATGACAGCAGCAATAGTGACCATGGTCATTAGTTGCACATGCACAGAGAGACCATGGTCATTCTATATAGACCACAGCAATGCCTGTGGTCACTACACATAGCATCTATAGTGACCATGGTCACACTATGTATCTGAAATAGTGATCACGGTCACTAGGCCAAGCAAAATAGTGACCATGGCCATATAATAGAGATACACTATATCCATGTGTTCATATAAATTCATCCAAGCAGAGGTCACTAAGATTGGCCCTTACAGCAGTCCAGAAAATTAGAGATATAGCAGAGTTGAATATATACCAGCTCCTTGAATGAAAAGAAACTATCACAGATTTATCAAACTTCTACTCATTACTTGATAGCATGCCTTGGTTTGTATGACACCATGTAGAAGCAGATACTGATGGATATACATGGTAATGAGAAACATAGAAATATGAGAAGTTGGAAGACATGTTGAGATATGTAGAATGAACATATGAAGATCAAGTAACAATGATGAGTACTGTGTGACATTTGCATGTGAGTATATTCAGTACTGTACCAAGAACTACTAATCACTTGCTATGATGACTTATATACTATGTATCAGCTGTGATGCATCAAGAACTATCCAGTAACAACTACTGCACAATGTAAATGCTAGCCAACATAGTTAGAACATCAGATGTGTGATAGCATGTACAAGTTGGCAGGCATAATGATCATTTCATTCAAACTTAGAAGTGACTATGGTGCAAGTATTTCTCATCAAATGGCAAGCAGTCACTTTCTCCATCATCTAACCATAAGCATATCTATGTACATGGAATAACCAGAGTCATCTATACCAGTAACCATATTGTGACCATGGTCACTCCAATGATCCCTATGTAGTATGCATGGCATCTATGGTCTGGATGACAATAGTGACTATGGTCACTCTATCTTCAGCTGCATAGTGACCTTGACATCTATGGAGTTCAATAATTGGTGACCAGGGTCACTCAGTCCTACATGAACAGTGACCATGTTATTCTATGCATGTTGGTCAGTATTAACTCTGGTCCTAGTGATTTAATACATAGTGACCATGACATGTATCATGGTAGGGCATTAGTTACCATCACAACTTGACCATGATGTAGTACTGACCATGGCATCTATAAACATCGATTCAGATCAGCCATGGTCACTATTGACTCATTGCACAGTGACCATGGCACATATGGGTAGGAGTCAATAGTAGCCATGATCACTACTCAATGCATCAATAGTCACCGTGCAATGTAAGAATGCTCATCAATAGTAATCATGGTCACTAACTAGAGGTTCAATATTGACCATGCTAGGTATCATTATTGGTCAGTAGTACACATGGTCACTTGCCAGTTGTAGCACTACTGACCATGGCATCTATGCAGGTTGGTGAAATGATGCCATGGTCACTATTAGATGCATAGTGACTATGGCATGTATATGAGTGAGTTGTATTTATGATCACTTCTTTCTGTAGGCATATTGCCATAAGATAGCAACCTTGATATCTTCTTTGAGGTTATGATACAATGAAGAGTATATGAAATAAGGTATTGTCTCAATCATCAAATTGTAAGCATAGCATTATTCTCATTGGTGAATCAGTGAATATTGTTGTAACAAATGGTCACTTTCTTGATAAACTGGCCTCTTATCTTGTATAATTTAGGAGTCATCATCATAGTTGAATGGTCATATCCTTGCCTACAATTTACTAGGTCTCATGGTCATTAATACTGGCATGCAATAGTCAACATGGTCATTCTGTCCCTTATTCAGTAATGCCCATGGTCACTAGTTGACCACTCCCTGATGTGTATTATATGTGTATGGTGTATGCAATTGTGACCACGGTCATTTCTGTATCTCCTGATATTGGTCACAGTTTCTCCAATATCAGTTGATAGTGACCCTGGTCATTTATTGTACTGTTCATTAGTGACTATGGAGCTTATCAGGATAGTCTGTAAGTGATTCTGGTCATTGCTCCTCCGCACATAGTGACCATGGGGCTTTCTCTCAGTGATGCCATGATTCATTTGGTCATTACTGATCACATTCATAGTGACCAGGGCATAAACTATATCTGCTATCAGTGATCATTCTGATCCTAATCCTGATCAATTAGTGGCCCAGTCATATGGCATGTGCTATACTAGTGACCATAGTTTCTTTGCAATAAATCAATAGTCCTTATGGCCATTATGGTTTTTCTTCATCAGTCATGGTCAATAACTCCATTGAGCATGTATAGTATGCTGCCAATGGAGGATAAGTACATGTATCAGCAGATGAAGAATTCACATGTATGGTTCAGTTTAAGCACAATATGCTAGACTACCAATTTTATGCAGTTCAATGTATTTGATCTTCATGCTTGTATGATCTCCATGTGCAATTTTTAATATGCTGCTCACATAATTGGATATGATCTGATAATATGAGATATCTAAATACCTTGCCATTCATCACTATGCAATATTATATCACATCTGAATCTTATATCCAATTTAAGTATGCTGATGCTGAACATTATATGATACTATTACATTGAACATCATTATGACAATTATATCAAGTCTGAACAAAGTGATTTACCACAGTGCTTGCAATAGTCTCCAGTAGTGTAAATGCTTTCATGCTGTATTGTAAAGTACTGTACTATTAAATGACTACTTCTGAAAGTTCCACATATAGTCAATTTTCAATAATTTTTACATTTTACCATCAGGCAGACATATGCAGAGAGTAGTGATAAACAAGATGAAAGTATATAGCAATCACTACATTGACTGTAACAACAATCACAGATAAAAGCCACCCAGCCAAAGTGCAGGTACAATGGAACAAAGACCCCTGACATTCCTCAATTGCGCATAATGCCTGTGGTCAGAACCCATAGGTGTCCATGGTCACTATATAAGGGCAGGTGGAAACAGAGCACCTGGTCACTATCAGAGTGAGCAGGAGTGACCATGGCACCCATAGGCAAAAAGTGACCAGTGCCGAACCTAGGCTCTAAGCCACATCCCCCAAGTGGCATAGACAGGGCTAATAGCCCCCCTTAGGGGGTGACCTGAGGTGCAAATTGGACAAAGCAGAGAAGGTAAGCCTACATGTATTTGGAAAACCCTACTTGCTTGATCTGATGAAACTCTTGTAGCTTTGCCTTTACGTGTTGATAATTCCTTTGCTCAATATCCCACCACTCATCATTGCTGCTATTCCTCGCAGTGGTAAGGATGATGCTGAGGCTTTGAGTAAGCTCCATTTTGAGCTTACTGCTTTGCTTCATGAAGCAGGAATATATCCACTCACCTTACCATCTGACGGGACTAATGTTGAGTGAACCACTCAGTGTATTGTCACCCATTCAACCGATCATCCATTGCAGTACACGATTATGAATCCAATGCCAGGATGCACGATCGTGATTACAATCGCCATCATGAATAGCCATCTTACAATAGCAGTTCAAGATTCCAAGCATTCCGGAAAGACAGGTCGCAACCAGCTTAATACCGGTGCTCGAATTCTAGTCATCAGAAATGAGCCTATCTGCTATACACAGCTGCGTGAGTTTGGAAGGAGTCTCACGTCTATGCTGTTCATTCGTGATGTGGAAAATATCGACAAGCAAGATGATCGAGCTGTTGCAAGACTCTTCTCTGCGCAAACATTGGAACACCACCTCACACTGTTTCCAGACTGACCGGGACTTTCAATCTATCTCTACATTGTGGGGGAGATGCTCGATGCTTGGCAACACTGTTTTATTCCCCCCATTGAATGTATCGAGATGGTGCTTTGTGCGCATTTCTTCTTGATGGCATGACGTAGTCATATTGTTGCACATCCTGAATATTGTGTTCACATTCAGTTCATTTCTCACGAATCCTTCAATATCTTCCTCACTATCTGTGACAGCCTCATTGCGCTTATACTTGCCTATTGAAAAGTATATCCCAGCTATCCCCTTCTTCTATGGTTGCATTCGACTGAGTCTGTCGAACATATCTTCAGTATACTGCGTCAGCTCAAGAGGGACTTCACCTATGTTGATATGCTCTATCTTGAGCTGAAGCTGCGACTTCTTCTATTGGGTGCATTCAACGATATTACAACTCAAGCACCACTGAATGAAACTGCTTCGGGTTATTACCACTCATATTTCATGGCTTCTGACATTGACTTATATCCGCTCAAGAAATGGCCCAATGACTTGGAGATTCAGGCTGCCTCGTTAGCTGCCTATCACAAAGTTGAGCAGCTATTGGGCACTCTTGGAATTGATGCTGCGAGTATGCTCAAAATGTACAAGCCTCCTGACCCTCCAAAGAGGTGTAAGGATACCCCACTCCTTTCGCCCATAGTTAACCAACCACCTAGAATGATGGCAGAGCTCATGGCACTATATGCACCTGTGTCGATGATGGATAAACAGAACAAGGAGATGGAAGCTTGTGAGATGGCACTCATTGCGAGTTCTATGCATGAAACTATGAAGATGTAAGTTATCAATCTAGGGCTTCTGTTTAGCATTCTGGTGCTTATCTTTCTATTCTAGTGACTCTTTGCTGAATTCCAGTGAGGCGGATCTTCTGATGGTGAAGAAAGCTGTTTCAGAACAACTCCATCCAATCTCGACATCTTCTCCTCAGTCTGAACCATTTGACCCTGCAACGTTGAGGCAACGCCCGTCCCTT